CAGTCTCAGCGATGCTGCGCCTCCAGTACGCAGGTACGTTGTGCATGTGGGACGAAACGTGGCAGTGTCGATGGATTGGCTCCCTGTTCCCTTACATCGAACGGACAACAACAAGTTGGGTCTCTGCACGTTTATCCGTGGGAAGTACTTGGTCTCGACGGTTCTTCCCCGCGATGTAGTTGCTGAGAACTCAGCGGCTGTAACGCGTGGCGGCGGCAACGGTGGTGCTGATGGCGCTGGCCGCAGGAGTGGTCGTTGCGTCCACGTGGCTGCGGAGGTGTGTGGTGCGACTCTGCTGAAGCGTGAAATCGAACTTGTGGAGATTCGGTGGAGCTCCAACGCCACTTCTCTCGCCGGGACGTTTCTCTTTGCGATTGGCCGCTGCACCTCGGTGGTGGTGCTTCAGCCCACCGGCGACACACACTCGGGTAAGTTGATGTTGCAAGTGGTGCATTACATTGAAGCAAAGGGCGTCGTGGCGTCTCCACCGTTTTTGCCGTTCCCTCCCATTGCTGTTGGTGCGGCGCGTAGTGGCCACACGATGTTGGTGGTTTCACATGGAACAAGTGTGGCATTCTACCAGGCGCCCGAGTTCAGCACGAAACTTTTTGTGGCCGTGGATGAGGTGGTGACTTGTGTAGGATCCTACGAGCGACGTTTGACGATGGGTCTGGCGAGTGGTGCTGTTGTGGATGTTCGTAGCGGGATGCCGATTGCGACGCTGCAGTCGCCACCACTACTTATTGACCGCATAGAAGGCACGTCCAATGATGAAGAGACGTGGCTTGTGGCGGACACCTCGGGAGAGTGTACACGGATTTATCGGCGCCGTCAGGGAGATGCGGAGCCCAGGACGGAGTGTGTTCTCTCAATCGCTCGGGTGCGGCGTGCAGCAGATCAGCCGGCGGCGTTAATTATGGGCTGCAGCCGCATGAGTGAGTCCCTGCGTATTACTAGCGACAGCGCGCCGCAATTTGTGCAGCATCCACTGCAGCATCTTATGATCGCGCGTGGTCCGCTACTTGCCTTTTTTACCGACGGTGTCTGGTTATTGGCTCCGCAGTGACTGGAGTGCTGGCAAACATGGATGCACTCGCAAACATAACTATGGAAGCAACAGAGGCGGTGTATGTGTGTATGTGAGAAAGAGAGAGAGAGAGAGAGAGAGAGAGAGAGAGAGGAAAAAAAAAAAGTTTAATAATAACAGAGATTTCTGTAAAAGATTGGCCTTTTTTTTTTTTTTGTGTGTGGCGCCAACCGCCCCTTTGTTGCAATGGTACTAAAGATCAGCATAAACATACTCTTTTTATAGGTTGCATGTCACACTCTTGTCGCCTTGCGGATGTCTTTTCTTTTTTTTTTTTCCTTCTTTCTTCTCTCTTCGTCCCCTTCCCCCGTTACTCAACAAATGGCTGTTGGGAGGATTCGAAGGGGAAACAACAAAAACAACAACAAAAAAACAGCAAAAGCAATTTCATTTATTTATAAATCTTTTTTTTTTTTTTTTTTTTGGTCGTCGGTGTTGGTGTTTTTTCTGTAGACCTAAAACATAATTCCACGCTAAGGGAGAGAAGAGGCAGAGAAGCGGAGGAGGATATTTAATAAAAAAGTTTTTTTTTTTTTTTTTGTTTGTGCGTGTTGCGTCAGCCACCACGAAGTGTTTTGCACGCAGTCGACTCATGCGCACGGCACTCCCGTCGAGGCTCGAGAATTTGGTGCGGGCGGAGTTTGAGGACACATGCCGCCGCCGCTTCTTTTTCGGTCTGGCCTTTGACCCGTACGGCGGGTCGGCGGGGCTGTACGACCTGGGCCCGCCGCTCTGCGCCATGAAGGCCAACCTCCTGTCGTACTGGCGGCAGCACTTTGTGCTGGAGGAGAACATGTGTGAGGTGGACACGACGTCCCTGACGCCGGAGGAGGTGTTCAAGGCATCCGGCCACGTGGTGCGGTTCAACGACGCCATGGTGCGGGACACCGTCACAGGCGAGTGCATCCGCGCCGACAAGCTGCTCGAGGAGTACAGTGAGACGCGGCTCAAGGATGCCACCCTGCCAATAGAAACGAAGCAGGAGATGCAGACGCTCCGTAACAGGGCAGCTGGGATGACGCCGGCGGAGATGAAGGCGGTGATTGAACATTACCAGGTCAAGTCGCCCAAAGGCAACGCACTCAGCGAGCCGTTTCCGTTCAATCTCATGTTCTCCACGAGTATTGGACCGGAGGGAGACCGTGTTGGGTACATGCGCCCTGAACTTGCGCAGGGGATCATACTGAACTTTAAGAGACTACTCGATTCAGGCAATGCGCAGCGCATGCCGTTTGCAGGGGCGTGCATCGGCACCGCCTTCCGAAACGAAATTGCGCCACGCGCAAACCTTATCCGCGTCCGTGAGTTTACGCTGGCGGAGATTGAGCACTTTGTCAACCCCAACGACAAGAGCCATGAAAAGTTTGAGAGCGTCAGGGGCACGGAGTTCTGGGCATGGTCACGGGAACTACAGGACGCCAATGCAGACCCTGTTCTTATGACCGTTGGGGATGCCGTTGCTAAAAAGATCATTGACAATGAGACGCTCGGCTACTTCATTGCCCGCACGGTTCTTTTTCTTGAGGCCGTCGGCTTGCGTTTTCTCCGCTTCCGCCAACACCAGCGTGATGAGATGGCCCACTACGCACAGGACTGCTGGGATGCAGAGCTGCTGACATCTTACGGCTGGGTGGAGTGTGTGGGTATCGCGGATCGCTCCGCGTACGACCTCACGCAGCACAGTGCTGCCAGCAAGAAGGATTTGTTTGCCCGGGAGGAGTTTGCGGAGCCACGCATCGAGCGCCAGCTGCAGCGCAAACTCCAAAAGGGCGCCATTGGAAAAGCGTTTGGGAAGAACGCCGGCGAGGTGATGGAGTACTTGAACACCGCACCAGAGGCAACGTGCGTGGCACTCGGTGAGAAACTGGCGTCAGGAAGCGTGGAAATCACGACGGCGAACGGGTTTACCGCGACTATTAAGCCAGAGATGGTCCAGTTTGAGTTCAAGGAGGTGAAGGTGACGGGGCGAAATTACATACCGAGCGTCATTGAGCCTTCCTTCGGCGTTGGCCGCATTCTTTACGCACTGCTGGAGCAGAGCTACTGGGTGCGCCGCGACGAGAGTGCCAAGAACGAGAAGCGTGCCGTCTTCAGCATGCGCCCTGTGATTGCGCCGCAGAAGGTGGCGGTGCTGCCGCTGCTTGTGAAGCCGGAGTTGTTGCGGGTGGTGGAGGAGATCCGTGGCGACATGGTGCTGCGGGGCATCTCGACCCGCACCGACGACAGTGGCGCCTCGATTGGGAAGAAATACGCCCGTGTGGACGAGCTCGGCATTCCGTTCTGCGTCACGTGCGACTTTGAGACGGACGGATGCGTCACGCTGCGTGAGCGCGACAGCGCCCGGCAGGTGCGCATCCCAAGGGAGGCGGTCGCCGACGTGGTGGCGGAGTTGAGCCGCCCGCTACGACCACGCGAGTGGAGTAGCGTCGAGACGGAGTTCCCTGCACAGTCAACAGCAGCGTGACCGTACCGCGGCGTGGATTTAGAACAGATGCCACGGAAAAATAACACAGAGAGGATTATGGTCTGGCATGTGTGTGTGTGTGTGTGTGAAGTCGTCAAATGAGGCTCAATAAAATGTATTTCTGGGGAAGGCAGGGCGAAAAGAAGAAGAAGAAAAAACGTAGGGTTCGTGTCACGGTGATAGTAATGCACCGCGCGCATGTGGGGCCTTTCCCTTTACATTTTGTGTGTTTGTTCTCGCCGCATTAGATGATGCTATTATTCGCCTACTGCCATCCCCATCGTTACTCTTTCTCTCACCGGTGACCGTTTCTCTGTCTGTCTGTCGGTGTGCGTGCTTGTGCGATGGCTTTAAGCCTGTTTTTTTTTTTTCCTTTCATGTCACCTTCTCTCTCTCTCTCTCTCTCTCTCTTTCTTTCTCACTTTATCTTTCTTACACATGCGGGGTGGGAATGAAAAGAGCGGGGGCAAACACCGTAGTGAACCGAATAGAGGACCGAAAGTCAGCCGATAGGCGGAAGCAGAAGAGGGAGGGAGGTGGGGGGGGGAGAAAATAGAAAAAACAACAACAAAATACAAAAAATAACAAAACAAACCGAACCACCTGGTGGCAGCGATGTTGAGTCGTCTCTTTGGTAGAGGGGATAAGCAGGCGAAGGCCCGCGAGAAGCAGCAGTCGGGAGGGCCCGGCTCCGTCTCGCAAACTCTGGAAAAACTGGAGTCGGCCTACGAGCTCCTCGAGAAGCGAGAGGGGGTGCTCGAAAAGAAGATGGAGATGGAGTTGGAGAGGGCAAAGCAGTACCACGCCAAGAAGAACACACAGGCAGCGCTTCAGTGCATGAAGCGGAAGAAGGCGTTTGAGGAGCAGCTGACGAACATCAGCGCCCAGAAGCAAAACCTCGAGACACTGAAGTTTACGCTGCAGAATCAGAATATGAATAACGAACTACTGGAGGTGCAGCAACGCGTCAAGAATGAGCTGCGGGAACGTAATAAAAAGATGGATGCGGATCGTGTAGAGGAGAATATGGAGGAGTTGCAGGAGGAGATGGAGAAGGCCAACGCCGTCGCCGAGGCCCTGCGACAGCCGCTCGACAGCCAACTGCTGGACGAGGACGAACTCATGGGAGAACTCATGGCGGAACTGCAGACTGCCGATGTGAAGGTGGCAGAGTCAGCGCCAGCGTTGCCGGCCATGCCAAGTGTGCCTACCGGAAAGCTGCCGAAGTTGAGTGCCAAAGAAGAAGAGGATGAGGATGAAGAGGCGCTGCGAGCCCTTGAGGCAGAACTTCAGTCTTAGTGCTGGGCGTGTCTCTTTTCCCCCCCTTTTTTCTCCATTCACACCGTTAGGCTCTTGCGTTGCATATATATATATATATATATTTCTCTTTCTTTCTGTGTGTGTCTGTGTGTGAGGGGGGAGAAGGAGAAAAAAACAAAAGCCCGAAAGTTGGAGCAAAACGAGTTAAGCGAGGAACGCAAAGAAAATAGTTTTCTTTTTTTTTTTGAGGAGGACTGGGAGAGAGGTTACATGAATCCCCCCCCCCAAAAAAAAAAAAAAAAAAGAAGGAAGAGAGAGAGAGTGAAGAGAGGGTAAGAGGAACAACAACAACAAAAAAAAGCGGAATGAGCAGCAACGACAAGAGCAGGCGGGGGAGCCGTGGACAAGATCTGCGTGTGTGTGGTCTCCTGAAATGGGGGGGAAATTCTGCAGCTTTTTACGACGAGGAAAGGCGCATGTGTGCGTGTGTGTGTGTGCAAGAGTTGAGTACGGAGGCTTTTTTTTTTTTTTTGTGTGTGTTTATATATTTATATTTATATGCTCGGTGTCTGTTACTGGTTTATTGCGCCGCCGCTTCTTGTGCGTACATTTTTGCATGTCTCCTGTGTGACTCCGCTTGCATCCCCTCCTTTATTTATGAGGCAGTTGAAACGAACACTCCGCCTTCCTTCATGCCACAGACGTGCTCATGCATGTTTAAGCGTTTATGCGTATTTATGATTCGTTGTGTGCCTTTTTTTTTTTTTTTTTGCATATTTGTCTGTGTGTGCTGTTAATAAAACCGGTTGGCACTGAATGGCACTTTTCATTTTATTGGTTTTTTCTTTGGTTTTTCAAAAACTTTTTTTTCTTGTCAAGGTTCTCATCGAAGCTACAACAATGAAGGGGAGGGAGGGAGGGATGACTGTTCCCCACTCTCCACTACTGGCGGCACAGCGGCCTCATCGGACGCGAGGGGCAGTGATGGCCGCGCCCCATCGCGATGTTTAACGGCCCGCGAGAACGAAGTTTTGTATTTTGTCTGCAAGTGGCTTGCAAAGGAACACGGATGTGGGGCCACTCTCCCCATGCGTGATGGATATGCCACAAGATCTTCCTTTCCCCCCTTCCTCATTCCCTTCTTCTCTCTTCCTTGCTTTCTTCCAGTGTCTGTGGCGGCGTTGGGCGTCATGCGGCATTTCACCAGGGGCTTTCTTTTTTTAATTATTATTATTTTGCCTGCACTTGGCTACAAAATTTTTTGTTTTTACTTTGCATGTTTTCCTTTCTGTTGGGTGGCGGGCTGAAACAGCATAGGGCTCAATGCTACCCATTGTGAAGGAGTACATGACCGAATGCGCGCAGCGGCGGGTGGAGCCGTATTACGGTTTTATCGAGCATGCGGGGGCCGGAGAAATAGTGACGGACTTGGATTTTGCCCCGTTGCACAGTGTGCGGGTTTTTGCATTGACGTTGCTGCGTTGCGGGCCGCGTTCCATCGCTGTGAGGGGGCCGAAGTTGCAAGTTTTAGCGCTGCGTTACGACTCGAACAAGGGCATGCATCACCCCCCGCGGCAGTCGAAGCGCAAGGTTTCCTACACGACCTTGTTGTCGCAGCGTCTCCCTGAAGATGTCATTGTTGCAGCACAAAACCGGCCGGTGCTGAGGAGCCTCATTGACGGCGTGCGTGTGGCGTGCATGACTTACACGGGGCATTTGGTTCGTGTGGAGTTGTGTGGCCTGCCGCTTAGGGAGATAAGGGAGGTGGTTACCAGGCTGTTTGATGTGCTGCAGCACTGTGGTCTCCTTCGGGTACTCAACCTGAACAAGTCCAAGCTGACGGACCAGCTTTTCACGCGGCTGACAACGACGGTGAACACGTTTCCCTCACTGAAGGAGGGCCACTTCTCCGAGTGTGGTCTTACAGACGGCAGTGCCAGGGGCATTCATTCTCTCATTCTCCTCAATCGCGGCAGGGAGCAGAACGCGATGTGGCGTGCGTCTCTGAGGGACGGGGTTGGCGGTCACGTTGCAACGTTCGCGCGGGGGCTGGAAGTGCTTGATTTGTCGGGCAATTGCCTTAGCGATGCCACTATTAGGCGATTGGGACTTGCCATAGCGCATGATGCATCGCTGCGAGTAATTGATATGAGCCGCAACACTGTGACGACGGCAGGGCTGAAGGAGTTTTTACAGCGTGGGACACTGCAGGAGAGCGCAGTGGAGTCCCTTGACCTGTCAAAGAACTTGATTGACACAAAGGATAAATTTTTCGTTGGGGATAACTTTGCATGTCAGCACACGTACGGGGAGCAGCTTCTTCTCACCCGGTTAGACTCTCGAGAGCGGCACCGCAGCGCCAGCACGGCACCCCAATTGGAGGTGAGTGGTGCCGCCGTACCACAGCTGAGGTCATCGGCCGCCGATGGTGCGCCGCTGGAGATTCACCATCCGCGTGCCGTCTCGCCAGAGGACGTTGGGGCCGGCGGTTTAAGGTCACGCGAGTCGAGTCCCGCTGCGGTGTTGGACACATGTGAGGAGAACGCTGAGGTTTGCTCTCAGTTGTTGAGGTGCCCCGGGATGGAGCGGCCGCAGGCAAACCGTAGCACATGGACCGCCTCACCCGAGATGTTTGATCGCCAAAGCAACGCCAGCCGCCGTAACGGGGACCGCAAGGCATCCGAACGTTCTCGATTTTCTTATCAGGAGACGGGGAAACAGCAAGAAAACCAACCGCGCCTCAATCAATGCCCACCGCCGCATCAAACTGCCGTGCCTTTTTTCCCACCGCTTCTTTTTGCTCCCACCGGCAGTGGCGATGGCTCTCAGCAGCAGCAGCAGCAGCAGCAGTGGTGTGGTGTCCCGCTGTATGTCCCTGTCCCTGTTTCTTCACTTGGGGCTATGGCGATGCCGCCACCCGCGCGATCTACGCGGGATGTCGCCGTGGGGACCTCGCCTCAGCCGGACACAATGCAGCAGAGCACTTCTAGATCCCTCTCTACCACGCCATTGGCCGACGGCGATGTCACGGATGACGGCACCGCCTTTGAGAAGATGATGATGGAACCCTTACAGACCAATGACTGGGAGCTTGCGGACTGGAGGAGGAATGAGCAGCGCTTTCTGGAGTCTCTCATTGTGCGACTGGAGTCCCAAGAAAATGCAACAACCGAGATGCTGGAGCGAAACTACCAGGCAACATGTGATCGTTTGGGTGCCATTCAAGAGGAATTCTCGCGGCAGATTCACGAGCTGCTTCAGGAGCAACGTGTGGGGGCTGAGCGGTTTCGTGGGGAGCTGCGCGAGGAATTATTGAGCGAACGGCACCAGCAACAACAGCAGCAGGACCCTGAAGCCGCCATGGCGGAGCAGCTGGCGCAACTCATAGATACGGGGATGAAACGTATTCATGATCAGATGGAGAGGCGTTCGGCTTCTGCTTCTGGCACGGCAGCCAAGGCGGCGGGTGTTGACTTGCAACAACCAACACAGGAATACCTCCGCGTAGTGAAGGAGCGATTGAGCAGTTTGGGATGGTGAGGGGGGCGAGAAGGAGGGCGGGCTGTACGCAAGATATGCCTTTTCACCTGTATGTGTATTTCTGCCGGGAGCTTTTTTTTCTGGTGTCGCTTCCATGTCGTCTTCTGTTTCTGCAGCGGTTGCCACTATGAGGGGGAGGGGCCGCAGGGTTTTTTTTTTTTTTTGCCGCTTATTTATTTATTTATTTTCTTTTGTTTGGTTTGTTGCAAAAAAAAAAAAAGCGTGGAGGGGTCCATCGGGACGAACGATTCATTCGAGGCAAAGGAGAGAGAGAGAGAGAGAGAGAGAGAGAGAGAGAGAGAGAGAGAGAGAGAGAGAGAGAGAGAGAGAGAGAGAGAGTGAAGGCGAAACGAAAGCCATAAAAAACAACAAAAAAGGAAGGACGCAACCGGAAGAACAGCGGGGGGTAAGCAATGAACATTCAGGGCCTAGCGCTGCACGGGCACATGAAGCCCGTGACGATGATTAAGTTCAACCGCGAAGGGGACCTTCTTTTCTCGACCGCAAAGGAGCCTAACATCAGCGTGTGGTACACCAAAACAGGGGAACGTCTCGGTGTGTTTAACGGTCATAGCGCCATTGCCGCGTGTGATGTGAACAATTACTCCACGCTGCTTGTGACTGGCGGTATGGACTTCAAGGCCAAGTTGTGGTGCGTAGAGAGCGGGGATGAATTGGCGAACATCATGCTCAAGAGCCCTGCTCGTGCCGTTGGCTTTGCGCATGACGACAGCAAGGTGATGGTGAGCACCTCCAGGAAGATGGGCGAGAAGTCGGCAATTCAGCTGTACAACCTGCCCTTTGCCGTGCCGAAGGAGGACTACATTGTGCATCCCGTCAAGACAGCTTTTAATCCCTGCGCTGAGTTTGTTTCGGAGGGCGACGATATCACGTTTGCGGTGTGGGGTCCAACGAACGACACAATTTACTACTCCATGTCCGACGGCTCCGTGGCAATTCTCGACGTGGAGACAATGCGCACCATTCGCACGCAACAGCCACATGAGGAAACTGTCAATCGCATCGGATTTGACTGCAACTACTACACTCTCATCACCGCCTCTAAGGACAAGACGGCCCGTCTGTTAGATTCCCGCGACATGTCGGTCATCCAGACATACAGGAGCGACGTGCCGGTGAACGATGCGTCCATCTCTCCATGCGGCGACCATGTCATTCTGGGAGGTGGCATGGAGGCGCAGGATGTGACGACACAAGGTGGCCAGACCAGCTTTGAGGTGAAGTTCTACCACAAGGTGCATGAAAAGCAGCTTGGTCAGGTGCGTTGCCACTTTGGTACCATTAACGCCGTCTCTTTCTTTCCAGACGGTCGTGGGTTTGCTAGCGGTGCCTTTGATGGCCTCGTGAAGCTCCACCGCTTTGATGAAAATTACGAAGCCGCGCCCGGGGCAAAGCCGGTTTGGTCGCCGGACTCGTCTTGAATATGCCCCGCCGAGGGACCTAAAAACAACAAATAAGAGGAAGCGGAAAATCAGAGACATTCAGACTGCAGTGCGGCACTCAACTGTTCTTAAAAAAAAAATATATATTTTATTTTCAGTCTTTATTCCGTTCCTGTGTGCTCTGTTTGTGTAACCGCATACTCCCTGACCGCCTCGTGCTGCTTTTTTCTTTTTTGGTGGTGGATCCCGCTTTCCTTTCCTTTTTTTTTTTTTGCCTGCATGTCATTGCATCGCAGAACTCTTGATTTTTTTCTTTTTTCATTACTTTTTTTTTTTTTTTTTGTTGCGCTTTGGCTTTCACGGCGGGGTCTCAGTTTGCATCCATGTGGCGCAAGGGGGCGGCCACCATGATACGACTGCGGCAGCCGCTTTGTTATCATAACGGCATGCGTGCAACGGTGATGGCAACGCGTGCACTCTCGAGCGGTGACGTGCAGGATGAGGCGACAAGGTGGGCGCGTGGGATGGAGGACAAGTACGGGCCTGGCGCGTACAAATTGTTCCGTCCGCTCTACAAGGATCTTTCGGACGAGATGCGACGGGAGGTGAACGTGAGGCCGCCGCCCCCGATGGATGGTTGGACCACACGTCATGATGAGGCGACGAATCTCGCCGTATTTGAGCGCGCTGCCGATGAAACGACGCGAGTGGGCCGTGTTGTTGCGTACAGCCCGATTGAAATGGCGAACCCGCCAAAACTTAACGCTTTGCTGTACTTTTTAGACTGGTTCCCTGTGGAGGTGCTGGTGGCACGTAATGGCGTTATTTTGCACTTTTCAATGGCCGTCAACGAGGGTGGGATGCACATGCGCAATGTTCGTGCCTACAAGGAGGAGGAGCATTTGCTTTCCACCACAGACGACGCGGCGTGGGTGCGTCGTCATCTCTACTACGATGGCCCATGCCTCTGGCACCTTGAGTTGGACGTACAGAACGAACTGTACGATACCATGCAAGATCACGGCATTACGCTGGATTGGATGCGGTGGGCGGCCGGGTGGGTGTACTACCTTGAACACGTGGCATATGTGCAGTGGAGTGTTGGTATGCTGGAGCAGCTTATTCCGTCGGTGCTACGCGGTCCAGAGGAAGACTTTCTCACGGCGGAAGAGAGGGAAGAACTCAGCAAGCCAACGGAGGAGTGGTTAGATGAGCATTATGCGTAGTGGCGCTGCTCTTTTTTTTTTTTTTTTGCCTAACCGCAGCTTTTTGGGTGGGTTGCTCACCGCCGTCTTTGCCTCCTTTTGAATCTATGAGTGTTATTTTGAGGGATGTGACATGTGGATACAACATGAATGTGTCTTTGTGGTTTTCTGTACTTTTTTAGCAGGTGCTGTCCCCCGCTGGTTGCCTCCACTCCTTCGTTTTTCTTCTTTTCTCTCAACTACCGGAGGAGGGGATGTGCATTGCTCTTGGCATCGTCGCGGAGGATGATGAGGCATGGCGAATTGCCAGCGAGGCTGTCGCTGCAGAAAAGGAGCCTGTCTTCAGCGGGAACAACGGCCCTTTTGTAGATGTCTGGTTTGGCGAACAGAAACTCTTTGGCCTCGTTCAACGCGTTGCTCCAAACGACTTTATTCAGGTCGCCCAGGAGTGTGGCGAGAAGAGCGATGACGCCGCAGCGACGTTGCGGATGCGTGTGACGCACAACGTCTCTTTTGTCCTTCACCTCTCGTCGGTGCCGCATGCGATGCTGCAGGCACGGGGAGCGCCCGAGGACAAGTTTGTGAACTTCATGCAACTTGTCGTGGATTACGCTTCGCTGCTGCGGCGCGGGATGAAGGATGAGTTTCTTGGCGTCGATCCCGAGTCCGATGCGGAGTACATACGCTTCACGCCCCAGTGAGACATTGCGGCTGTGCGTTGGTGCTGGTGACTTCTCTTCTGGACATGTGTGCGTCTGGTGTGCACTTCTCTCATTTTCTTCTGTTTTTTTTTTCCCTTGTTGTTTGTGGGGATGCCTCTGCTGTTTATTTTTTCCTCTGGTTTCTCCTTCTGTCCCTCTTTCTTCTGCTGGGCGCGCGTTGCTCCTCGCGAGAAGAGAAGTAATAAAATTACGTGAAAAAAAGAAAAAAAAGAAAAGCCATAGCTTCAAGCAGGCACACACACACACACACACGTACGCGCGAAACAATTAACGCCATTAAAACATCATGACCGATTACAAAGTCCGAGACATCAGCCTGGCAGAGTGGGGCCGAAAGGCAATTGAAATCGCGGAGAACGAGATGCCGGGGCTCATGGAGCTGCGCCGTGAGTACAGCCAGTCGAAGCCACTCAAGGGCGCCAAGATCGCTGGCTGCCTGCACATGACGGTGCAGACGGCAGTGCTGATTGAGACACTCATCCAGCTTGGCGCGGAGGTTCGCTGGAGCTCATGCAACATCTTTTCAACCCAAGACAACGCCGCCGCCGCCATTGCGAAGCGTGGCATCCCCGTGTTTGCCTGGAAGGGAGAAACGGAGGAGGAGTACCAGTGGTGCATTGAGCAGACACTTAAAGGCTTCAGCGGCGACGGATTCCCGAACATGATCCTCGACGACGGCGGTGACCTGACGAACCATGTCCTTGACCACTGCCCCCACCTTGTGGACAAAATCTACGGCATATCGGAGGAAACGACAACAGGTGTGAAGAACTTGTACAAACGTCTGCAGCGCGGAAAACTGCCCATCCCTGCCATCAACGTGAATGACAGCGTCACGAAGAGCAAGTTTGACAACCTCTACGGCTGCCGCGAGTCACTTGTGGACGGCATCAAACGTGCCACGGACGTGATGATCGCTGGAAAGACTGCCTGTGTTTGTGGTTATGGCGACGTGGGCAAAGGCTGCGCCGCCGCCCTACGTGCTTTTGGTGCCCGTGTTGTTGTCACGGAGGTGGACCCGATCAATGCGCTGCAGGCGGCGATGGAAGGGTACCAAGTGCTTCTGGTCGAGGACATCGTGGAGCAGGCGCACATTTTTGTCACGACGACCGGTAACGACGACATCATCACGGCCGAGCACTTCCCCCGCATGCAAGATGACGCGATTGTGTGCAACATTGGCCATTTTGACACGGAGATTCAAGTGTCGTGGCTGAAGGCGAACGCGAAGGAGCGCGTGGAGGTTAAACCGCAGGTGGATCGCTACACCATGCACAATGGCCGCCACATCATTCTTTTGGCGGAGGGCCGCCTCGTGAATTTGGGATGCGCCAGCGGCCACCCCTCGTTCGTCATGTCGAACTCCTTCAGCAACCAGGTGCTTGCGCAGATCGAGCTTTGGACGCAGCGTGACAGCGGCAAGTACCCGCGTGGCGAGAAGGCACAGGTGTACTTCCTGCCAAAAAAGCTGGACGAGAAGGTGGCGGCCCTGCACCTTGGCAAGCTCGGGGCCAAGTTGACGAAGCTCACCGCGAAGCAGGCGGATTACATCAACTGCCCCGTGGACGGCCCATTCAAGCCGGACCACTACCGCTACTAATCGCTTCTCGCACGCCTGTGAGGGGCGGAGAGGAGGGGGCAGGCGGACAAACAGGCGGAGGGCGAGCACGTTTGCGCCCCATTCATTCAATGTGCCCGGCAATAAATTTATGCATACGTGCGGCCGCGGCAACGCACGGGGTAATTCGGTTTTATACGACTGTTGAATTGAGCGGGAAATAAAGAGGAGGTTTGTATTGGGGGAGGGGGGAAGAAGAAGGAAGAAAGAAAAGGAATAAAAAAAAATGAAGTTTTTTTTTTTGTTTTGTTTTGGACGCATTTAATTATCGATGGGAAAAAAGAAAAAAAAAAAGAAAAAGAAGGAACTGTTGAAGGGAAAAATGCAAAAGAGGAGGGGGCGCAGGTGAATACGGCCAAGAGGAGGCATGGGGAAAAGAAAAGAAAACACAAACACACATAAATACCTACAAAAAAAAAAAAAATAAAAAAAAAATAAAAGAAAAGGTACTCAAAATGTGGGGGATGTGAAGGAAGATGCGTGTGTGTTTTGAGTGATTTACATCTTGTCTGATTCCATTGCATTTCTGTGTGTGTGTGTGTGTTATTCCGCGGAGCCTCGCCCTTTTTTTTGTTGTCTTTTTTTTTTTTTTTTACTCCTTCTTGATGTGCGCTTGCATATATAGATTGACGGTTCGGCCGCGGTTAAGAGGATGTTGGCCGCTCTGTTGCCGTCCGTCGTGTTGTTTGTGCTGGCGCTTGTGGCGTTTTCTGGCGCGGTGACTATTGTGCACGGAGGTTTTATTCGGCTGGCCATTGGGGCGCTAATCGTGGCACTGTTGATATCCATTATTTTTTCGTCGTGTGCTGTTCTGCTGCTGGAGGCGTCGAGTAGTTTTCCCACGGATGTGGTTCCTGTGATATTTTTGCGCGGCGCACTGGGGGCCATTGCGCAGCCGACAATAGCGGGTATTGTTTTGCTTGCCATGCTGGTTGTTCTTGCAATGAGCACCTCCCGCGTGTGTGGGCTGGTGGAGGAAATTCAAATTCTGCTGGATGCACACAAGGCAGTGGCAGAAGCGGAAGTAATTTCGTCTACGAAGAGGTAATATATGTTTGTGTTTTTTTAAAAGAATATATATATATATTTGCTGCCAGAAATAAGGAATTTTTATGTGTCAATAGGGATGTCCCTGCCTGTGTGCATTGCAGTGGCAATGAGTTTCCCTTTTCATTCGTTACGCACAGACGTCCGTGTGTGTGTGTGTGCACCGCACTCTTTCCTTCCTTTTCTTCTTTTCTTTTTATTTTTTCTTTTGCGTGTGTAGGAGTGAAAGGGAAGCTGAAGCAGAGTGGGAAAAAGAAGGGGGGCGGGCGACAATGGATGCCCTGTACCTTATGAGCAGGGCGCAGTTCCATCAGGCAGCGACTCACATCTCCCTCTATCGCGAGGATGCGTCACCGGGCTACCGGACTCTCGGTGAGGAATGTCTGCGCCTCGTTGGCCTCAACCCCAGTCGCTACGTTTACTGGAATGTACCGAACATGAGCGCCTACTTTGGAAAGACAGTGCCAGTGGACGTTCATGGTGGTTACGTTCTCGTGGACGAAGGCGCTGCAGGGCGGCTTGCCACAAGTTACGGGGTGTTGCGCTACGCGTATCTCTCCGCCGCCGTGCGCGCAAGGGAGGGTGGGAGGTGGCGGTACGACTTCATGACGATGAACATCACTCTCGCTGTGGGTGTGGCAGGCGGATTTGCAGCGCTTTCTGTCGGCAGGTCTCGCTGGGCGTGGATGCGGCGACATCCGGTTGGCGGCATTGCTGTCAGTCTGCTTGTTTTTCTCACGGGCACAGTGACCTCTCGCCAGGCAATTCGCGTTCTCGGTGTCGGGATTGTGACTGCACATAACAGCCACAAGAAGGCTCTGACAAAACTTAACTGCGCTGACTGCTTTGACGACGTCAACCTCTACACTGCACAGCAAGTCGAGGACCTGCGCAAGCAGGAGATTCCGCGACAACCAGGGATGCCTCTGCCCCCGGAGGAGTTTGTGAAGCGATTTGAGCGGGGCACGCAGCTGCAGATAAAGATGCTGCAGGCCGATATGGACGAGGTGCGTGCGGAGAAGCGGCGCATTGGTTCCCACTTCTGCGACGTGCACCGCGGCCTCCGCGAGGACGAGGGGTACGCTGCGTCGGTTGTGCTGCCGATCTCACCCGTGGACACCCAGCGTGCTAGCGAAAGACTCCGTGCCGAGAGAACGGAGAAGAAGGCGGAGTGAAAGGGGAAAACTAAAGAAAAGGGAAGGGTCATAGTGAGGCGAATGACGCGGAGAACATAAGGTGGGTAGCTCGCGTGTGCGCGTTTTCTCTTTCTTTCTTCATTTTTTTTTTTTTTGTGTGTGATGCCGTTCACTATCCTCGTTGTTTTGGTTTATTTTCGTCTCTCCTCTTTCTCATAAATATATATTTGATGCCACACACACGCACAGAGAGGGAGAAAAAGAGGGAGGGAGTGAGTGAGGAAGGAAAGGGGATCAGACAGAATGTCGGCGAAGAAGAGGGCCTTCGATGTCCTCGTCCTTGGGGCTGGCGCAGCAGGCTGCGCAGCGGCACGTGCTATTGCGTTAAGATACCCCAATGCGACGGTCGGCCTTGTTGAACAGGGCACCCGGCGCCCACTGCCGTTGGTGATGCGTGTGCCGCTGTTGACGCCACTCGTCGCCTCGGTGCGCAGCACACGAGGGTTCCTGCGCAAATATCATGGAGTTCCTGAGGAGTGCATTGGGGGGCGGCAGTTGAAGTACGTGCGGGGCTGCGCTCTTGGCGGTAGCAGCTGCTGCAATGATATGCGGTACATGCGCGGCACGACGAGGGATTATGCGGCATGGGGCGATCCAATGTGGTCCTTTGAGCAACTCCTGCCTTTTTTCTGCGCCTTGGAGCGCAACTCTCGGGGGGGTTCCTTGTTTCATGGTAACAGCGGTCCACTGGATGTTACAGATGTTCCACGGGCAAATGTCGGTTTCGAGTTGAACATTCTTTGGTTTGAGTCGTGCGAGGCGCTGGGCATCCCCGAGACGATGGACTTCAACGCTGGAGCGGCGGACGGCTTTTCGGCCCTCCAGTCGTTGATCGCAAAGGGCGTGCGCGTGGATGTCTTTGACGCCCTCTTGGAGCGGGACCGCCACCTGTTCCCCAATTTGACCGTCATGCCGGAGACGAGGGTGCAGCGGATACTTTTTGACGGAAAGCGAGTGAGTGGCGTTGAGAATAGGGTAGGACGCGACGTGGAGGTGCTCTTTTCCGGTCGTGTTGTCTTGTGTTTGGGGCCGTTGGAATCTCCGGCGCTGCTGCAGCGGAGTGGCGTTGGAGCGGGCGGAAGAGTTGCTGAAATTCCCGATGTCGGGAGGAATCTCATTCAGCCCACCTCCGCAACAATTGTGTTTGGTGTCACACATAACGCTAACCTTCGCAGCAAGTCTGTGAGCTGGCGCAACGCCCCGTACCTGCTGCGCCAGTGGCGGGAGTACAACGAGGAGCGCTCTGGCGCGTTTGCCTCGCTCGCAGAAGGTGCCGCGTTTGTCCGTTCGACGCCAACGGCAGCGTGGCCGGACTTATCGCTGACTTTTTTTGCGACTCCTAACGTGCGCTGGTGTGGGTGGAGGCCGTTTGACGGCTTTGCTGTGCGTGTGGCGCACCATTACCCCGAGAGCCGCGGTGAAGTCGACGCGGTGGATGAACACAACATCCGCATCACAAGCCGCATGTTTTCTTCGCGGAAAGACGTGCAGTGCATGGACGAGGGTATGCGTTGGGTCGGGTCGCTTTTTAACGACGCGCGGTCGGCGTTCCACATCGACGAAAAGGGCCGGCCGACTTCGCCTTTCGCCTCGCTTGGCGTGCATGTGCGCCATCCACGGAATGCCCTTCACACGCAGCAGGGGGCCGCCGCCTTTTTGGCGGAGCATGCACAGGGCACCGGTGACCTCTTTGGCACATGTGCGCTTGGAAAGGTTGTGGATAGCACGCTGCGTGTGCGGGGTGTGGACGGGCTGCACGTTGCGGATGCTAGTGTCGTGCCAACCCCGACTTGCGGTGCGAGTTGTGTCATTGGCGCGGCCATCGGGTCAAGGGTGGCGTCGATTCTGCAGGTGTGACGCTCTTGGGAGTCGTGGCTCTCACCTCTGCGTCCCTTTTGCCCATGCACTCTCTCCTTCTCACACTCACCCACTTTCTGCTCTCTGTGCCGTGTGTCGTGTCTTCCTATCATCATCATCATCCTGACAGCCGTCCCTTTCTTTTTTTTCTGGTTGCTTCGCATGTTTGCGTGGGCCGCGGCTTCACCCACGGCGGCATTGCGTGCAAGGCAGTTGTGTTGAGAAGACAAAAAGGAGGGAGGGGGTAAGTAGCGTCGAACAAAAAAAAAAAAAAAAAGAAAGAAAAAGAAGTTTGGAACGCATCGCTTGCACCGACCGCAGCGGCGACCGCATCCATCATCCTCAGTGCTGCAGGTGGCGCTTGGCCTCGCGGTTGTTTGCGGACAGGCCTCATGTCCCAGCAGTTAGTGCCGTGGGTGGAGAAGTACCGCCCAAAGTCGATGGAAGACATTGTCGGCAACGCCGATGCCGTTTCGCGCCTGCGGGTGATATCGAAGGAGGGAAATCTCCCGAATCTGCTGTTGTGCGGCCCGCCAGGGACCGGCAAGACCACGAGTGTGCTTTGTCTCGCCCGCACGCTGCTCAGCGACCAGGACGGCGGCGACACGACCGCCCTCAAGGAGGCAGTGCTGGAGCTTAACGCTAGCGACGACCGTGGACTGGACGTGGTGCGGGAGAAGATAAAACTGTTTGCGCAGACGAAGAAGACGCTGCCGCAGAAGGTGAACGAAAGCAGCCAGCAGAAAATAAATCTCCACAAAATTGTTATTTTGGACGAGGCGGACAGCATGACGCCGGCGGCCAACAGGCCTTGCGCCGCAACATG